CGACCTCGAGCCATGTTAGAGACAGAAAAATTTTCAGAAACATCTGCGGTCGACCGTGGGAATTTTCAGCTTGACGGTCAACCGTCACGGTCGACCGTGAAAGTCTCTGCTGGTTCCACAGAGTAAATCAAAGGCACGGTCGACCGTGGTAGTCAATCGCAAACAGATATATGAAAATGACAGTTTTGTAAGCAGTTTTTCTGATTTAAAATCCTGTTTAAAAATATCAAATAAATTCTAAAAAATATAAAACTTTGGGAAATGATTGTAGACATGATAATACACATGTTACAAAAACTGGTTTTCAAAAAGTACCTCTCAAATGTAAAATATTATTATTTTGTAAAATAGTCCAAAACATAAAAATATAAACATATGAGTTTTGACATTTTAGTTTAACCATGTTTTGAAACATTACAAAATAATTTTGTAGACTTAAAGAAAGATATAAACTATTGTTATGATTTAAAGTACCAACACACATAATATAACACCTAAACTAAATGTTACCCAAGCAATCTTGATCTTCAATAAGCTTGACTTGGTACGCTTGCGGATGAAGCTTAAACTTGAATCTTTAACTTGAATTGCATAGGCTTCACTCCACAATTCTGCCAACCTCCATTAGATATGATCGTGAAAGCTCGATTCCATCAATCCTCCAACATGTTGTTTGTCTATAATAAATAGAAATACAAACACTAGACAAACAACATTAGAAGTAAATTATTTGTTAAACATCATCAAAACAAGAAGGCCAAAAATCTCCCCTTTTTTATGATGACAAACAATTTACTAAAAGGATATATGCATGAAAGGAAATGAATATACAATATTGTAATTATCATGCATATAAACAAAAAGAATATACTCACAATATTTCTCCCCCTTTGACAACATCAAAAAGGGGAAAACAAAAGAAGGAAGAGAGCGAAAGCTCCCACTATCAATATGCATGAGTGAGTATAAAAACAATAATAGAATAGGGAATACCCCCCTATCAAAATGCCGTAAAGAATATATAAAATAAAAGATCGTGGCAAATATGTGAGTAAGCATAAAAAATATGCTAAATATCACTCACATACAAGAGGATAATGAGAACACATATAAATATATCAATATGAAAGTGTCTCAAATGTACAAAC